CGGACTACTGCGTGGAGACAATGAAGCGGGGAGGCAAACCGATGGTGCCGCAGTTGCGGCCTCGGTGGTGGGTGAAGTGGCGGCGCTCCTACGGCCTGAGCATGAAGAAGCCGAACCGCAAGTACAAGGTGCCGAAATGGTTGCTCCAATCTCGTTTTGAGACTATGATCTTGAACGTGGCCAGGGTCCGCGCAGCTGCAGAGGAGCTTCTGGGGTACGACCCGCACATCCTGAACTGGGACCAGTCGCCCTTTCACCACAACGAGTCGTCGTCGGCCTCGAATCCGACCTTGGCTGTGAAGGGTGGCATTGTCCCGCTTGTCGAGGCGCATGACGACAGCAGGGCTCGGTGGACAGCGAACCTGACGGTGTCGAGCGACGCGAAGGACATCCGCAGTTGCGGACCACCGCCGGCGGAGCTAATGTTCAAGGGGGGATCTGTCATCGCTGAGGGCTTGGCCGCACATGCCCGCAGTCGCGGCTATCCGTCTTGGGTGAGCACGGCGACGTCCGAGAAGGGGTCCTACCGCGCATACGACGTTGTATCATTCTTGCAGCGGCACTTGCGGGCCTGGCCCGACGACCCGCAGTTGCGGGGAAAGTGGCGCATCCTCATGGCCGACGACCATTCCCCGCACACAGCAGACGCTGTGCGGAGACTCGCCTGGCAGCGCGGCTACGTGCTGATCATTCACGGCGGGGGGACGACCGCAGTTGCGCAGCCCGTGGACACGGACTTGAACCAGCACGTGAAGCGCCGGTACATTTCCCTCGAGACCAAAGCGCTGGTGCAGCAAATGGCGTTGGGGAAGCACGTGCCGCAGTTGCGGCGTTCCGATTGCGCCGACTTGATGCTGTCAGTGTTGGAGTATGTGCAGTTGCACTTGGACGCCGCGAAAGGTTTCCTGAAAGTGGGAATTCGAGCGCCCTTCGACAAGTCAGGAGATCTCGAGATTTGCCGAGAGGCGGCGGAACTCTGGGAAGCAGGGGGGCTGCGAGCAAAAGTGGACACCGCAGTCGCGGAGGTGAGGGAATAATGCGAGCAGAAACGTTTGAAATGGTCCTACAATGACGTGCTGCGTCTCATACACGAATACGAGAAACACGACGCCACAGATTCCGTGTTGGAGAAGCTCGGCGACGAAGCGCTAGGCCAGGAGCCAGGCCACGAGGAGGGCGATGAGGAGGGCGGGGAGGAGGAGGAGGAGGAGGTGCACGAGGAGCACGAGGAGTACGAAGAGCAAGAGGAGGCCTCGTGGGCCGAGGCTCTTGCGGAACAGTGCGATGCCGCAGTTGCGGCACCTGGGCCTCAAGGATCCTCGGTATCCATGGACTGCGTGGTCGACGCAGAGGCGGCCGAGCAGGTGGCAGTGGCGACGTCCTTGGCAGAAACGCACCGCGAGGCGGAAGATATGCTGCGCCAAGTGGGCATGGAGAAACTAGCGCAGGATTGCCGACAGCAACAACACAAACAAAAGAAGCGGTTGAGAGAGCTGGCGCGGGAGGACAACGAGGTCCTACGAGCGTTGACTGCCCAGCGAGACCACGAAGCCGCAGTGGTGGCGAAAAAGCGGCGCCTGGCTCTGGAAGCGAACGACAGGACGAAGGCGTTGCACGAACTCAAGAAGCAGATTCGAGAGGCCGAGGCCGCCTTGAGGGCAAAGAAGGAGGCCGCAGTTGCGGTGGAAACGGCTTTGGCTAACAAACACGCCCTAGCGCAGTGGAATCCCGAGGAGTTCAAGATCAAGAAAAACAGGATGGCAGCTCTGGATCGCCTGGCTCGCGGAAAAGGCGTCCTCTCATACGAGCAGAGGGGGGAGTGGGCATGGTTCAAGACGCATTGGGACGAGGAGATGTGCAAGCAGCACAAGGAGCAATGGCCGCTCACGTTTGCTGGGTGGCTGCAAAAAGTCGCGAACGACGCGGCGTCTGGGAACCGTTCGTCGCTGTCGCAGTTCGTGCATTCGGAAACAGTGAGAACCCTGGGAGGGCAAATGGCGCTGGTAATCCCAGCCCTAGCGTGATGCAGGCCGCAGTTGCGGACCCACAGGAAGTCCAGAGGGAAGTTGTTTTTTCCAAGCGGCTCCCGCGCGGGCAGGAGATGAGGCAAAACCGCAGTTGCGGTCTTCCTGCTGCTGTGAAAATAATCCTTTCACAGTCCCTTGCAATCGTCGCCCTCCTTCAGCTTCTCCGCCAGTCCATTTGTTGTTCTTTCGGTTCCTTTGAGTCCTCGCCCTCCTTCTGCCACTCCTCGAATCCTCTTTGTCTCCTCCCTCCATCCGACCCCATGCCCATTCACTATCCATTTCCGTAGCCACCGTGGCTCGAGGTGGCGCACGCGAAGACGCAAGCATGTGGCCGCCCGCGCGCCCGAGCGCATCCTCAGGGAGTATGGACCGTGGACCTCGATTCGCCAGAACGGTGTTCATCCACAACGCTGAGGAGGAGGAGGGAGGCAAAGACGAAGAAGCCGCAGTTGCGGATGATGACGACGACCAGCGGACGCAAGATGGCGACAGCACCGTCGCGTCCTCGGCTGCCTCCGCTGACGAGGCTGAGTCCCGGGGAGGTGCGGGAGCCGCAGTTGCGGCAGCACATGACTCCTACATGCCGAGAGTGTTGTCGTCGCGGAGGACCTGGAAACGGGTGCCCATCATCGAGACAAGCAATCTGTCGGAAAAACAGAGAGCTCTTGTCGACGCATGGGAGGAGAAAACGGAGTTCGAAGCGGGACGGGTCGGCTTCTACGTGGCCAACTTCGGAGGGACTGCAGCTAGACCCACGCAACGCGCGGACGAGTGGGCGCAGCTCCGCGCGAACCCTGCCCAGAACATCGCCCTCTGCGAGTGCGACGACGAGACCTGCGCGGTACTCAGTGGGGAGCACGACGCGAGGGACAGTGCAGCCGCAGTTGCGGACGATAGGTTTCGGAGTCGGACTCAATGCACCTACCTGTGCGTTAAGGGCGGCGAGCCATCAGGGACCCTCCTTGCTGGCATGAGGGACCGCAGTGGCGGCCACATTGAACACGTAGACTTTGCGAGACTCTTCCACAAGCAGGAGAAGTCCAAAACGAAGAAGAAGAAGAAACAGTCCGCAGTTGCGGAGGCTCCTGCTCCAAAGCTGCACAACAAGTACTCCAGGGCGATGGTGGTGCGCGTCCACCTGGACCAGGCCGTGCCCCATTTGGGGGGCTCCTTCAACGTCATGGCGGTGCACGTCCACCACAGCTTGGCCAACCAAGACTGGGGAGTCACGAAGCTCCATGAGTTCTACAACTGGTTCGTCGCCTACGTCAGGGAATGGGACGTGAAGGTCTGCATGGGGGACTTCAACATGTGCATGTTCCAGCTTGTGTCCTGGTGCCGCAATTGCGGCCTGACTGTGGACGTCGCCGCGTGGACCCCTGGAAGACAGCAGGCGGCCAGCCCAGGGCAGACAGCATGGCGATTTTGTTCATAAGCTGTCCTGGGCAGTACAAGCTTCACCATGGCCTGAGTGTTCTGCACGACCGTGAGGGCGGATTCTTGACGACCCAGCATGATCCGTCTTTCCCTGTCTTCGACTACACGAATGGCCCTGGGAAGATGCTTCAGACTTACGTGCCCAAGGCTGAGCCCGTTGAAAACAAGATGCGAGCCTTCCTGACGCCATCTGGCGAATCCTTGACCGCAGTTGCGGAGTTCGAGCAAAGGATGGCGCGCAGGGAACGCGACGATTGGGTGCGCCATCCCTTCAGAGTGAAGCAGGGCAACCTCGACGACAAGATATGGCATGGCGCCTTCGGCAGGGCGAGGCACGGAGCGCACTTCCCTCTGGTGGCTTTCACGCACACTACGTGCCGCAGGTCACCTGAAAGACTCGCCGCGAGGTTGGAACGCAGGAAGGGCGGCAGGAAGGGCGGCAAGAAGGGCGGCAAGAAGGGCAGCTACGCGGACACCGCAGTTGCGGGGAAGGGCGTCCGACCCCAGATGGGAACCGCAGTTGCGGGGAGAGACGCTGGGGCTGAGCGAGCTGGGAACACGCCACCGCCGCTAGCTGCCAACGGCGACGATGCGACCCCTTCTTGTGCCGCAGTGGCGGCTGGGTCCTGGGACGCCAGCGGCAGCGGCGCATGGGAGGCGCGCAGTCCCGCCACGAGATGGCAGGGCTGGTCCTGGTGGGACTGGAGCTCGAGCGAATGGGGCGCTGATGGCGCGCAGTGGTGGCCCTCTGATCATGCCGCTGTTGCGGACAATGCCCCTGAGGGCTCGCCTCCTCAGCGTGAAGTCGAGTGGGGCTCGAGCGGGCGACCTGCCGAGCGCCCTCCGTGGAGCGTCGAGGCGCAGCGTTGGTGATGGCCGCAGTTGCGGGCAAGTGGAGCATGATGTTGATTGCCGCAGTTGCGGACAGTGTACGCTGGAAAATTCATCATCATCATCAATCATAATCATCATCATATCATCATATCATACGTTCAAAGCAGTGCCGGGGCACTGCTTTGAACGCGTTCAAAGCAGTGCCGGGGCACTGCTTTCGATCGTCGCCTCGTCGCCGTTATAAGGGCTATCGGATTATGAGTTTCTAGACGTTTTTGTTTGTTATTTGTGTCTCGATAACACTCGGCAGCAACACATTCCATGTTAAATGGTTCACCATGAAAACTTGTCAGGTGTCAGACCGCAGCGGTGGTCCAGATGTGCGTTGGACAGGGGGCGATGAACAGACATGGCGACGAGACACCACGTGCAAGAAGTCAGGGTAAAGATGAGAACGAGGAAGGTGATTGTCGAGGGGATAGGAAGCTGATATGAGGGTGGAACTGGTTGAGGACATTGTTGTGATGGTGACGAGATGATCTTGTATGGAAAGAGCAGTATGAAGAAGCGGAGAAGGTATGTGTGTGTATATATATATATATACTCGCTTTCGTGCCCTCTGGGTCAATGTTAGCAGGGTCACGCCCACACGGAATGGACACATGTTGAACTCCTGGTTGTAGCGGATGACTGGTGGCGCAGGTTTGAAGGCTGCTGCCTTCAAAGGTTGGAGTACCTGCACTAAACAAGAAAAACATGAAAGGGAAATCGCTGGTGAGTTCAAGGATTGCAGGGGTTCGGGTTTCTGGTGCACGCTTGGAATGAGCCAAAGAGCATCGTGACTGAGTGGCAGCATAACTGATGGCGGATGGTAAGTGTCAACATAATTAATGTTGGAGGGCAAGGAGAAGTTGTAGGACGCAAAGACAACAAACCTGATGCAGAAGGGGGAAGTAGACAGCGAACGAAGTGGAAGCACAGCTCGCAGCAGGATGTAGGTTACTCAGAAGCGGGGCAGTCAGACGGATGCAGCGAGATGTGAGGAGGAGGAGGAGGAGGAGGA